CTTGCATTAAAACACTTCTTCCAGTGAGCATTTTTTCCTCCTTGTGTTCCCTAAACACTTGATTGCTTCATTTCAGCTATGACACGTTGTTTTACAGTGCCTCCATTGATGTTATTGACTACAATACTGTGTCCCAATGTGTATCCATCACAAAGTACACATTTTGAGTACGTTATGTGCGAACAGTTTGTTTACTGTCTGGTTTGTATTCACAGCTTGATAAATGCCTATATGGGATTTCCATTATGTGGTTTTAGTGGTAGAAGGTATGAACCTCCTATTATTTTATACTAGTAGAAGGTTTATTATCCACGGGATTTGTGGATTATTCATCTTGTTCTCGTTTGCTTGCATGCAATAAACTATGTTTGTAAACCATTGCTAATAATTCTTTCACAATGAAATAGCGTTTATTGGAACATAATATTTAATCGATCAATAGTTTGTGGTGACAGCTTATCTTGTTACAATACCACTGAAAAACCAATCACATTGTCTTAGGTCATATTAGCCCCTAGAGATCTGAGACTATTGTCCTAATTGTGATTCTAAATGCTTTGTAAGTCGGAAAAACAATGTTGTGTGGCTTCAAGCTTGATATTAAGACTGCATGTCTAACTCTAGCCTTGTCAGCATCAAAGTAATTGTCTGCTAAGACACGTAAGGCAATACTTGAAAATACCTTTAACCACCGGAAATGACTTAATCCAGTTTCATAGGGTTCTAGCTTCCACAAACATTTAAGGTAATGAACTTGGCAATCTCATACTATGTCAGTTCGTGAATTTACTTTGATGAAAACCACTAATGAATTCTTCGGTATCATGACCTTGGAAAATAGGTATTGACAATGTAGGTAGCTTGGTAATTGGACACTTGTTTTTGTTCCAGGTGTAACAGGTTGTTTTGACCACTCGTTTAACAGTAGTTCCTTTTACAGAGTTTTTGGCCGGCAGAAGCCCTGTACTCCTGTCCACCTTAATTAGTTGATCACTAATGTATCCAAACATTTTTATTTCATCCTCAATTGATCTGCTTCCAGAAAATTTATTTTCATATGTGTATAGTCTGAATTAATTATTTCCAGACGCTGTTTAAATTATCCAAACTTGACCTCAAGATCATCAAAATCTATGTTGAATCTTAGTTAATCCTATACAGACTGAAATTAGATTTATCTAATTGTGTAAGTCTTTAGTCTGATAAAGACTGAAACTGAGTTTTCAAACAAGCATTTTAATGGTATACAGAAAATTCTAGCACCACACCTTAGAGTGTTTAAAAACTCTGTACTTGCCTATAGACAGCTGAGTTTTGTTATGCTTAAAGTCAGCAATAATCGAGTCAGACACTATGACCCACAAACTAACCTCAGGGTCAATGACCTTGAAGGGTACAGGGTACATGTGTCTGGTGTTTATGGCTTGAGGTTTGACAGTGTCAGCCTGACCACGATTATTAATCGTAAATAACGATATATACACTTCATTCACTATACACTATAACTGTTCACTGTATACCTGGTAAATTACCCGTGAAAATTACTTACACATAAATAAATTTCACTGGGTTAATATATATAGAAAGCTACACTTTATATATAAGGTTCCCTTTAATATAACATGTAATCTATAAGAAACAAACTTTAACACAATCTTGTCACTTAATTTTCTGTCTATAAACATTATAAACACTGTGTATATATAAACACTCAGGGACAAACAACATTCACTTGGGTTGTTGTATAAAACAGCAATTTCACGAGATTGGAGGCAGTTGAATGAGGGTGCAGGATAGCATCCCCCCGTCTTCTTGTTTGGGTGAGTCACCCGCTTCCCCTTTCGTATTGGTGAACGCTGGGTGAGCGCCCGTTTTCTTTTGGCTGCCCATTCTCTGTGATTGAGTCTGTCTGGAGGGACTCATTATAACTGATTTATAATTGTAAAACACTAGGTTTTGCAAAGCTTTTTTCGAAGGACCTTGGCTCATAGGTTATTTTACACTGTAGTACAACATATTTGGACCACAGTGTTGTCTTTATTCCGGTTTCGAGCATACCAAATTTCTGTTGAAGATATTGGCCTCTTACCAGCTATGTGTAAATTTTATATTATTAGGAAACACTTAGCTGATAAATGACATAGCAAATCGTCTACACAGCCGCCCCTGCCAGACTAGGGTCTAGAAGCTGTCGAAACCATCTCAGCATGGGCTGTCAAGAAATATTATTTGTAAGTAATAAACTACCCCTGGGGGTGTTTGTTCAGCATATTTTCATTCGATAAAGCTGACGATAAACCTACATGTGACTGTACTCAAAAGTCCACACCTTACAGCCGACTATAGGTTGTTACAAACTCCTTGCGACTCAAGAACTGCGCAGTCCCCGATCTACAAGAAATTCCGCAACAACCTTGCACTTGTAACGTGAGCTATGGTGTCTCAAACACCTTCGACAGGTAATGGTGATTTGAAGAAGCTGAAGTGTACCCTTGGATGTCCCAACGTCTTTCCATGTCTAGAAAACGCACACAGGTACACTATGTTTCACAAGAATTTGTCTTTATTGTATCAGCAAATGTATCACAAGAGAAGCTGATCACACTTCTCTTATGTTATTGTTTTTTGTGAGACACTTTATTCACACAGAACGCACAGTCAGTGTTTCTTTGTGGTATCCTGGCGTCCCATTGTGACTCTCACTAGAGTCAAAGCTAGTCTCCCCCATGCCACAACAGCCGCCCCAAGCCGTCACTGCCCCTAATAAACAACAAAAAAAAAAACGCTGACCAGTACCTTTCATCCTCTGTCATCTCCTCGATGAAGCAAAGCAGAATGTTGGTTTCTTGCAGTCTTAATCATAGACAACAATTGTACACCTATCTTTACCTATGTTAATAAAGTGGGAGCAGGATTTTCCTTAATTGTCCTGCTAAAGTAAGAATGTACTGTCTCTTATAAAAATACACTTTGCAACACCGCTGCAAGGAGCGGAGGCCACTTGACTACGTCGCATAGCATCTGTGATCAATTACTCACTGTAGCAGTAAACAAGACGCTCGCCCCTTCTGAGAGGGCTTGGCCCCTCAGGGCTGAAAGGGGCTGAAGGGGCTGAAAGGGCTGAAGGGGGCTGATACCCCCCTCCTGGAGAAAATTTCTCCACATATAATGCCTTTCTACCTCTGTATGTTAGAAGTGATCAAGGTCCCAGGGCCGAAACGTTTTCTAATAAATATGTCATAGTGTTTGCTTACGTGTCTTTCTAAACCAACTTGTCGGTATTTATTACCAAGGTTTATACCATTGTTGTATGTACCATTCAAGGCAGGCTTGATTGCTGAGTGGGAAGACGTACAGAGAACTTTCACTGCTTATGCACGCTCAAGCATCTGAACACTTAAAATCCATTTAACTGTACTCCTTGGAACATAGGCTAAAAAGGTACATAATAGTTTACACCTGGAAAATCGGGGAGGCACTGGTCCTAAACGTGAACGCCGAAATCACTCCGGCAGACAGTGGAAAATAACTTAACTAAAAAATCAGGGGCGCGACAAGAACACCAAGACTATTCAACGCAGTTTCTCTGTGCATAAGGGAAATTACCAACCCTCTCGTGGTTTTCAAGAGGAAACAGGACAAGTTCATCAGATCGATACCTGATCAGCGGGACTGGTTTGGACTACCTGCGACCGTCAGTAACAAGCCTTGTTGATCAGGCTTTGATCCTCCAGGAGGCTTGGTCTGGGACTGGGCCGCGTGAGCGTTGATCTCCGGAAAAGACATTCAAGCATCAATCTTCCCTTTTGTACTCTGGTTTCACGAGGTACTCAAAATTTAGTACCGCTTGGTCGCTGGTCCCTAGTGTTACTCTAAATTTGATTTCCTCAGTGTTAGCCTCACTGTAAGTAAAGACATGATCAAGTCTATCTGGCTCCCTCATGAAATTCCTCATTGCTGCTTTGATGAGCATTGCTGTGCACATTACCTGACCCGAAGTGAGTTCCAATACCTACATTTAACTTCCTGTCATTATAGTCACCTAAAATGAATAATTATGCTTCGTTTCTTCTCGCTCTCACCCTTATTATTTTCAGCATGTGTATTATCTCCCTGTTCTCATACTCCTCCTTAAGTCTCCTGTTGTTGGGTGGGTTATAGACTACTACCACTGTTACCTTAGGCACTTTCGCTGTTGTTATTTCTGCTAGGTAGTTGTTGAAGTCACGGATTTCCATCTCACAATCCATATATTGCAGATAAATCTTCAGAGGATGGTCTGGTCCACAGTGGACCAGTCGTAACCTGATAATGATCTAAGACAGACCGAAACGTGCTCTCAAGATTTATCTCCAGTTTGTGGGTAACTGGTTTCTTCACTCTAGTAACGTCCCTCCACCTGCCATATTTTATCTCCTTCCATTCTGTATCACATCTCTCCTTTATATTTGACTTAATAATCCTAATTTTGTATCTATAATGACACTAAAGACAAGTTTTCCCCATCTTATTTCTCTCAGCTCCTCTCTTGTTTTTTTTTTTTTTTTTTTTTATCACACTGGCCGATTCCCACCAAGGCAGGGTGGCCCGAAAAAGAAAAACTTTCACCATCATTCACTCCATCACTGTCTTGCCAGAAGGGCGCTTTACACTACAGTATTAATTTGTTAGTACAAATTTGTTTCTGTTACGCAAATTAATACTTTTAACTCTCAGTCACAGACGTGCTTCTGCACTTTGCTCATTTCCATTTTCCTGGTTCCTGGATGTATTTTGTTTTGTTTACTAACAGAACTGTCGTATTGTGTAGCAGTTTGCTGCTCTACCATGTGATAGTTATATTATGGGAACCTTAAAAATAACATCTGTCTTGAAAGGCCAAACATTTGACCTTAAAATACACATATTTAACTATGCCATAAAGCTGAGATGTCATGTAATTGACCAACATGTGACCTGCTACGTTACAACCTGACCCGTGACCCCTGTTTCTCCTGCAGAGATTTGAGTTGGAGCGTCAGGTGGACTGCAACGTGGCGTGTGAGGACAGGTCCCGTGACCCCGTATGTGGCACTAATGGTCACACCTACGACAACATATGTGACCTCGACCGTGACATCTGCAAGAAGGTCAAGGTCACTCTGAAGCACGTGGGCGAGTGTTCCCGTGAGTATATTTGTATAACCTGTGTACTCACCTAATTGTGCTCGCCTAATTGTGGTTGCAGGGGCCGAGACTCAGCTCCTGGCCCCGCCTCTTCACTGATCGCTACTAGGTCCTCTCTCTCCCTGCTCCATGAGCTTTATCATACCTCATCTTAAAGCTATGTATGGTTCCTGCCTCCACTACCTCACTTGCTAGGCTATTCCACTTCCTGACTACTCTGTGACTGAAGAAATACTTCCTAACATCCCTTTGACTCATCTGAGTCTTCAATTTCCAATTGTGAACCCTTGTTTCTGTGTCCCATCTCTGGAACATCCTGTCTCTGTCCACCTTGTCTATTCCACGCAGTATTTTGTATGTCGTTATCATGTCTCCCCTAACCCTCCTGTCCTCCAGTGTCGTCAGGCCGATTTCCCTTAACCTTTCTTCGTAGGACATTCCCCTGAGCTCTGGAACTAACCTTGTCGCAAACCTTTGCACTTTCTCTAATTTCTTGACGTGCTTGATCAAGTGTGGGTTCCAAACAGGTGCTGCATACTCCAGTATGGGCCTGACGTACACGGTGTACAGTGTCTTGAACAATTCCTTACTAAGGCATCGGAACGCTATTCTCAGGTTTGCCAGGCGCCCATATGCTGCAGCAGTTATCTGGTTGATGTGTGCTTCCGGAGACGTGATCGGTGTTATACTCACCCCAAGATCTTTCTCCTTGAGCGAGGTTTGCAGTCTTTGGCCACCTAGCCTATACTCCGTCTGCGGTCTTCTTTGCCCTTCCCCGATCTTCATGACTTTGGCAGGGTTAAATTCGAGAAGCCAGGTGTCCAACCTGTCCAGGTCTCTTTGATGTCCTACCTGATCCTCATCTGATTTAATTCTCCTCATGAACTTCACATTATCTGCGAGCAGGGACACTTCTGAGTCTAACCCTTCCATAATGTCATTCACATATACCAGAAATAGCACTGGTCCTAGGCCCGACCCCTGTGGGACCCCGCTCGTCACAGGTGCCCACTGTGATACCTCATCACGTACCATGACTCGTTGTTGCCTCCCTGTCAGGTATTCTCTGATCCATTGCAGCGCCCTTCCTGTTATACGCGCCTGATCCTCTGGCTTCTGTGTGTGCACTTGTGCATGTGTGAGTGTGTGTGTGTGTGTGTGTGTGGTGTGTGTGTGTGGTGTGTATGTGTGTGTACTCACCTAATTGTGGTTGCAGGGTCGAGACTCAGCTCCTGGCCCCGTTTGTGTGTATGTGTGTGTGTGTGTGTGTGTGTGTGTGTGTGTGTGTGTGTGTGTGTGTGTGTGTGTGGTGTGTGTGTGTGTGTGTACTCACCGAGTTTATATTTGCAAGTGTCAATACTCAGCTCCTAGTCCAATTTCCTAGACTACTTTGCTCGGCATCACTGATCTCTGGCCTCTTGGGCCTTATCATGTCTATTCCTGAAGCTGTATATTGAGTTTGCCTCCATCACTGCTTCATTCACATCATTCCACTAAAGAAACACTTCCTTACATCCTTATTGGTCATCTGTGTCTTCAGCTTCCATCTGTGTCCCCTTGATCCTGGTCCCCATAATTCAGTCTGTCCCTATATTCTCTATCAATTTTTCATAAGATTTTATTTGTCGAAATCGTGTCTTCTCATCTCGTTCTCATTATCACTCTCTCCTTCAAGTCTCTCCTCATAGTGCATTCCTCTCAGTTCTGGTACTTATCTGATTGTAGACTCCAGATTTATTATAAACTCTATGTCTAAAAAAAGTACAATATATTCAGGAATGGTCAATATTATGGATACACTTCATAAAAAGCCCCTGATTATGACTTTTTCTAGCTTCAAGTTTGTGAATGTTCTGAGATTTACTGATCTTGGTTTATATGGCTTGTGTGTCACTTTGGCTTGGTGTTATATATACCCTCAGGTCCTTGACCTTCACTAATATTTGCAGTTACTCGTCGCCCATTCCATACTCGCCTTCGTCAAATCCCATGACGTTAAGTTTATTTGGATTTACCTTTTGAAATCACTTTCTTGACCACATCTGCTGCCTGTTGAAGTCTCCCTGGGGTTTATATTTATTCCCCTATCTTATTACTCTTCTAATTAGCTTAAACATCATCATCAAACAGTGACACATGACCCAGTCCCTTCTGGTAGGTCATTGCCATCAGGGAAAGCACTGATCCTAATACTTGTTGGACCCTACTTGTTACTCTCTCCCATTCTGATATTCTCATCCCATACTGTTACTCCCTTCTGTTATTTAGGTACCCTCTGTTCCTCTGTGTATTTTATTCCTGCCTCTTCTAATTTGTAGATTAATCTGTGATACTGTATCATATACTTTCTGATAATCCACCCAACTCCGAATTTTTTCTCTTATAACGGTCATCGTACCATGGAACTTTAGCAAGCGTCTTAAACAACATTTACCATTGCTAAATTCGTGCTGGTGTTCACTAAAGAATCTTCTCTACAGATGCTACACTTCTCTTTTCCTTGAATAAGGTCTCCTGCAAAATGTTCTGCAATGTACTGGTTCGTAATTAAGTACATCTTGACCCTCATACTTTTTTCTAAATGGTGGTGATTGTGGTGGTTGATGATAAATGGTGGTGATTGTGGTGGTTGATGATAAATGGTGGTGATTGATGATAAATGGTGGTGATTGTGGTGGTTGGTGATAAATGGTGGTGATTGTGGTGGTTGATGATAAATGGTGGTGATTGTGGTGGTTGATGATAAATGGTGGTGATTGTGCTGGTTGATGATAAATGGTGGTGAGTGTGCTGGTTGATAAATGGTGGTGAGTGTGGTGGTTGATGATAAATGGTGGTGATTGTGGTGTTGATGATAAATGTGGTGATTGTGCTGGTTGATGATAGATGTGGTGATTGTGCTGGTTGATAAATGGTGGTGATTGTGGTGGTTGATGATAAATGGTGGTGATTGTGCTGGTTGATGATAAATGGTGGTGATTGTGCTGGTTGATGATAAATGGTGGTGATTGTGCTGGTTGATGATAAATGGTGGTGATTGTGGTGGTTGATGATAAATGGTGGTGATTGTGCTGGTTGATGATAAATGGTGGTGATTGTGGTGGTTGATGATAAATGGTGGTGATTGTGCGGTTGAATGTAAATGGTGGTGATTGTGGTGGTTGATGATAAATGGTGGTGTATAAGAATTTCCATTACTGACAAAGTCTTGATAATAAATACCTTGTACCTTACTTATCTATAAGAGATATATATTTGCTGTGTTTGAACTTACCATGATCATCAAGATATATATTTGCTGTGTTTGAACTTACCATGATCATCAAGATATATATTGCTGTGTTTGAACTTACCATGATCATCAAGATATATATTTGCTGTGTTTGAACTTACCATGATCATCAAGATATATATTTGCTGTGTTTGAACTTACCATGATCATCAAGATATATATTTGCTGTGTTTGAACTTACCATGATCATCAAGATATATATTTGCTGTGTTTGAACTTACCATGAACATCAAGATATATATTTGCTGTGTTTGAACTTACCATGATCATCAAGATATATATTTGCCTGTGTTTGAACTTACCATGATCATCAAGATATATATTTGCTGTGTTTGAACTTACATGATCATCAAGATATATATTTGCTGTGTTTTGAACTTACCATGATCATCAAGATATATATTTGCTGTGTTTGAACTTACCATGATCATCAAGATATATATTTGCTGTGTTTGAACTTACCATGATCATCAAGATATATATTTGCTGTGTTTGAAACTTACCAATGATCATCAAGATAATATTTGCTGTGTTTGAACTTACCATGATCATCAAGATATATATTTGCTGTGTTTGAACTTACCATGATCATCAAGATATATATTTGCTGTGTTTGAACTTACCATGATCATCAAGATATATATTTGCTGTGTTTGAACTTACCATGATCATCAAGATATATATTTGCTGTGTTTGAACTTACCATGATCATACAGATATATATTTGCTGTGTTTGAACTTACCATGATCATCAAGATATATATTTGCTGTGTTTGAACTTACCATGATCATCAAGATATATATTGCTGTGTTTGAACTTACCATGATCATCAAGATATATATTTGCTGGTTTGAACTTACCATGATCATCAAGATATATATTTGCTGTGTTTGAACTTACCATGATCATCAAGATATATATTTGCTGTGTTTGAACTTACCATGATCATCAAGATATATATTTGCTGTGTTTGAACTTACATGATCATCAAAATATATTGCTGTGTTTGAACTTACCATGATCATCAAGATATATATTTGCTGTGTTGAACTTACCATGATCATCAAGATATATATTTGCTGTGTTTGAACTTACCATGATCATCAAGATATATATTTGCTGTGTTTGAACTTACCATGATCATCAACATATATATTTGCTGTTTTGAACTTACCATGATCATCAAGATATATATTGCTGTGTTTGAACTTACCATGATCATCAAGATATATATTTGCTGTGTTGAACTTACCATGATCATCAAGATATATATTTGCTGTGTTTGAACTTACCATGATCATCAAGATATAATATTTGCTGTGTTTGAACTTACCATGATCATCAAGATATATATTGCTGTGTTTGAACTTACCATGATCATCAAGATATATATTTGCTGTGTTTGAACTTACCATGATCATCAAGATATATATTTGCTGTGTTTGAACTTACCATGATCATCAAGATATATATTTGCTGTGTTTGAACTTACCATGATCATCAAGATATATATTTGCTGTGTTTGAACTTACCATGATCATCAAGATATATATTGCTGGTTTTGAACTTACCATGATCATCACATATTATATTTGCTGTGTTTGAACTTACCATGATCATCAAGATATATATTTTGCTGTGTTTGAACTTACCATGATCATCAAGATATATATTTGCTGTGTTTGAACTTACCATGATCATCAAGAT